GATTTGGGGTTCAAATCGCCACCCCCACAATATTTAATTAACGCAATCCCCCCCTGGCCGGAGCCCTGTGGAGCCGCGGGCCTGGCTTGGGGTTAATGAGGATCAGGGGGTGCCCCGAGCAGGGGAACCCCAAAATTCGGGGCTGAGGGAGGGGAAGGAGCCCCAGCCCCACCAGCAGCTGCATCTGCCTGCCAGCCTCAAATCGGGGGGAATTCTGTCAATTCCGAGGGAAAACGCGACTCAGGTCGTTGTGGTGGCTTCAGAATTGGGAATTTCGGCTGGAAAATGCTCGATCGAAAATTGCCCCAGCCGAACCTGCTGCCCACTCGCTGCTCCCCAAAATCCCCCTGGGGAAAGGAGAGACCGAATCCCTGACAGACCCAGGGCTTGGGCTCTACCCGTGGTAAAACTCTGCTGAATTACAGCGCACATCGTTTCCATTCTGCTTTCATTTGGCAAGCAATCTCCGGGCAAAAATATTTTGATCAAACGTCTAAAAAAAATTGCTATAAGTCCCTAATTTCCCTTCATTCCCAGAGACCGTCACGATGAAAATTGTGTTTACATCCTCAAAACTGTCTGTTCATGGGAGACAACACTGCTCGATGTCTGACGATTGTAATTATAATCATGCTCAAGTTAGATATTCAAATGTAAATTGTGCTTTTCTTTTTCTTTTTTCCATTTTTTTTTTTTACGACTTCTTATTTTAGGACGTGAATTTTTTACCTTCGCCGGGACCAGCAAGGCGCAGTGTAACGAATTCGGAGGAATTCTTAGGGCTGAACATGTTTTTTGAAAAATCTGAAATGGCAATTGACACGGTGTTGATTCATGGCCAGAGGAGCCAGTGTTTTCCTCTAGAAATAACAACAACAAAAAAAATATTCTGATCTAGCCTGATCACCTCATTTTGATGCACAGACGGCTTTCAGTGCAGCTGGAATATCAGGGAAGAGGCGCGGGACAGTGAATGCAGGCACAGGTTATGCTGCAGTATTAATCTTCCCCTCTGTATTTCATCTAAGAGCGACTTAATTTCATTTTATTTCCCCCTGTACAAAACGCATCCATTTCTCCCTTTCTCACTGCCGCTTGTTCTGCCGCTTCTCAAAGGTTTTCGGGTAAAAAAAAATAAATTAATTTAAACCAATGAGAGCGTGTAAATAGGTCACTTCAGGAAAGGCTGTGGCGGGTGCAGGATGTGACACCCGCACTGAGCTCCATCACCTGAGCCACCCGGGGCCGCTCCGGGTGGGGGGGGACCTTTATTGGTGTCTCGCCGCCTCCTCAGAGCGAAGAGGGGCGCATCCACCTTTGCAGAGGTTAATTTTTGTTATTTTTATGATTTTTGCCTCTCCCGGCGCCGCTGCTGGGAGGGCGAGCTGTCCCCCTGTGATGCTCGGAGGGGGCTCCCCGCCTTGTCCCCGTTGCTGTCCCCGGCTGTCCTTAACCGCCCCCTTGTGCCGGCTGCTCGCAGGGACCGGGGCTTGGCGAGGTGTCGGAATTCCTGGGTGCGAGGCAGCCGCTCCTCATCCCGCCCTGGGTGCGCTCCCGCCGCTAATTAGCGGCAGATTAGCGGGGAAAATCCCCCAGGGAAAGCGTGTGACATTCCCAGCGCCCGACTCGCCACCCCTGCGGAGCGCAGCCCCGTCCTGCGCCGCCGGCTTCTTGCGTAGTTTGAAATATTTAATTCCCGGTTTAACGCGGCGCGCAGGAACAAGGGGTGATTGATGCGAAAATCCTCGCAAGGGATGGGGTGACTCGGGGCGTGCGGACAAGCTGGACGGGCTCAAGCGTTTTAATCTTCTTTGCTGCTTGAGAATGCTTGTGCAAAACAGCTCGCCGAGCGCTAAGGGTGTCACATCTTTACCCTCGTGGGTGCCCGCGCTGGGCAGTTCCCACCTGGAGCGTGTTTTCCTTGTAGAACACCTGGGAACTCAAGGCTTGTGCTGGAGGTGCCAAGGAACCCACCCGTAAATAGCTGCCGCTCCCCAGAGCTGCGGGGACCCCCCTGCCCCACTGAAATCTGTTAGACACCAGGGTGGAGGCGCAAAAAAGGGGCGAGGACGGAGGGGTGAACCTCAAGCAGGCTCATTTTGGGACCACCCAGACCCCTCTCAGCCCGCGGGTCCTCTCAGCGTGTGCTGCCCAGAGGGGCTTGGCTCTGTGGTTATTAATTAATGGTTATTAATTCTCGGGGTGCTTTTCCCCTCCAGCCATGCCCAGGGCGGGCAGAGCTCCTGGGGAAGCGGCGGAGCACGGAGCAGGGCCCCGGCTCCTTGGCTTGACCCGGCAGCGCCCAGAACCTTCCTGGCGCTTCTCCCCGTTCTCCACGCTCATTAATTTCCCGTTCCCCGTGGAACAAACACGCACTCAAACAGGTGCAGGCTGCAAAAGCCGCTGCCCACCGCGGGATGCTCGGGGGGGCTTCGGGGATTCCGGGGGGTGCGAGGTTCTCCCTGCCCGGCCGCACACCTCGCTGCGGGGTTTGCTGAGCCCCAGGACCCCTCTCCTTCCATGGGGAGCTCAGAACCGGCCCCGGCTCAGCCCCGCGTCCCGGAGCGCTGAGCCCGGAGCGCCCGGGCCGTGCCCTCGGTACCAGCCCCGAGCTGGGCACACCGGGCCCGTTCCCGGGGGCAGAACGGCTGCGGGAAGGGATCCCACTCGTGTCGTGTCCTTCCCCACACGCACTGCAGCCCACGGCCAGCACACCCCGCCACCGGCCCTTCCAAATTCGTTCTCTATTTATTTTTTTTTCTCCCCCACCTTTTTAGTTTTTTATTTTAGGTGGGTTTCTCCCCTTTTCCCCCTTTTCTGGGCGGGCAAAGCGCCGCATCCCGGCCTTGTCGCTCCGCTCCCCGCTCCAGCCCGGCCTCTGCCGCCTCGGCCCGGCAGGAACGCGGCCGGAGCCGGGGAAGCCGCACGGGCAGACCCGGAGACAACCGGGAACAAGCGGGGCAGCCCCAGCACGGCGCCTTTCCATCGCTTCTCGCTGGCTTCGTTTGCAGAATCACCCCCTAAACCGTGGAACCGTTTGAGCCACCCCAACCGCGCACCCCCAAACGCGTTTTGCTTCTCCCCAAATATCCCCGAGCGGGGGGATTCCCGCAGGAGCGGATTCCTGGGGGAGTTCGGGTGATGGAGGTGGGGGGGAATTGGGAAGAAAAACAAAATAACCACGGGGTTGTGCGGGGCTGGGGCTGAGTGGGGGCACGGCCGCGGTGCTCCGAGCCCTCCATGACCTTCGTTCCCGCGTCATCCTCCTCTGGTTCTACCCGGGAGAAACAACCCGGGACAACGTTTTCAAACTGAAACCCGTCCCTGGAGCGGCTCGGTGGGGGACAGCGAGAGTCCGGGATGGCTGCGAGAAATATTTCAATGAGTCCGGAACACTCGAGCTCCTGTTTCACCGGTGAGGCTGGGAAGAGCTTGTTTTTCCAACCTCGGGGTGCCCGGCGCGCCGTGGAACGGCGTCCTCGAGGCAGGAATTCATTCACAGGCACCGCTTCGGCATTTTTAGGCGACACGTGGCTCCGAGTTGCCTTCAAACGGATTTATTTTATTTGGCCTCCCGCTCCCCCCCACCCTTTCCCTCGAAAAGCCGGCTCCTCGGTAGCATCTGAAAAGGCCTCGGCTCCCATTTGCAATTAAAGAGTTTATTGAGGAGGGGAAAACCGGTAATTAGCAGGAATATTCCCCCCCCTTCCCCGGTTCCACCTGCAGGGCAGGAGTGCAGCTGGCGGAATGGCTTCCAGCAGGGACCTGACGCACCCACACAAGTTTTGCTTTGTTTTTTGGGGTTTTTTTTAGGGTTTTTTTGCGGTTCCCTTCTGTGCGAGGGCTCCCCGGGACGGGTCCGCACCTCCAGCGCGGAGCGCCGCGCTGCCCTCACCCCCCCCAATTATTTTATACGGAATGTTTTAAGACGACGCGCGTTTTTCTCCCTCTCTCCATATTAATCTCATTAAATCCTACCTTTCAACCTTCTTCCGTGACCATCTGACCTGGCCACTTGAATTCAAATAGTGCTTTCTCCGCAGTCAAAGCCAGCACATCAATCACCGGCTATTTACACTTCGCTCCTCTCTTCAAAGCGCCTCTGCCCCAGCGCTCGCTACCTCCACTCGGGGGGGGCCCGGCCAGGTCCTGGGGGGCTCCGGGGGTGTCTGTCCTTCCTGTCCCCCCTTTCCTCCGGTGTCTGGCGGCTTCTCCCATCCCTGGGGAGCGCTGCCTCAGCGCGCTGCTTTCCACCTGAAAGGCAGAGCAGAGCGGCCGCCTCCCCTCCCTCTCTCCCTGCCCGACCCCTCCCGGCTGCCCGGGGCCCTCCCGCGACAAACCGAGGGTGAAACCCCGGCGAACGGCGACAGAACAGAGCCGGGGATGAAGCAGCGAAGCTGCCGAAAAGCTGGGAAAATTCTGGTAGAAACGCGAGAAATACCGACAAAACACAGCGCGAGTTGTGGTATTTTAAAAGTTATTATTTTTTAAAGTTAGGCAACCACCCCCTCCCCATAAGCCGAAGGGGGATAGGAAGGCAAAAGAAAAAAAAAAAAGTTTAAAAAAGGAAGAAAATAAAGACAGACACTGGTTGAAAAGTTACGTAAATAAACATTTTTCAGATTAAAAACAAAAGCATGTCCAAGCTAGGAACGTTTACAAGATGACAACTACTAACAAACTTTCCCTACAGCATTGCTATTTAGTAGTAACAACAATAATAATAGAATAATAATAATAATCACCTCTTTATAGGATGGCACCTTGATCCTTAAATATTGTCCAGTGTGTAAGGTCAGTGTGCGGAGGGTTAGGAGCGGAGAGGGCTGATTTTTCTTAAAGGGGCAGATCAGGCAAGGCTGTGATGGTGTCGGCAGAGAGGAGGGGGCAGAGATAAGTGGTCTGAGGAAGAGGATAGGACAGGAAAAAAAAAAAAAAAAAAAAAAAAAAAAGGAGAGAGAAGAAAAAAAAAAAAAAAACTACCAAACCAGCCCGATGATGATGAATACATTGGAAAGTTTTTTTGGCCCTGGTGAGGGTGTCAGATTGAATGCTCTGTGCGCATGTGCGAAGGTGTCCAAACTGACAATGCTGGGGAGATGAAGATAGTGTGTAGCTGCTTCTGGGCTCAAGGAGGAGGAGAGGAATCCACACGCCGACACGATGAGATCCAAGGCGAGGGCGAGAAAACTGCCCAAAAGTAGGTCCTTTCTCTCCCTTCTTCCGCGTACCGGCGGCGGGCCCGGGGGCGCGGAGCCGGGCCGGGGGCTGCGCGGGGCTGAGCCCCTCTCTCGCCCTCCCTCCCTCCCTCTCTCCCTCCCCGCGGCGGCGGCCGCGCTGCCCGCACCGCCCGCCCGCCCCTGGGCGCGGATCCCCCCGCGCTGCCCCGCGCTGCTCCGCGCTGCCCGCTCCGCGCTCCGCCGGCGGTGCGGCGGTGCGGGGCCGGGGGAGAAAAGCGAAAGTTGGAGCTGGAAGTTGACGAAAGGGGATAGCGAGCAACTTTTTTTTTTTTTTTTTTTTTTTTTTTTTTTTTTTTTTTATTGAGTCGTTCCCAAGTCTTGTGAAATAATATTCCCGGCTCCTGAAATAGTGGGCGCTAGAGGTCTGCGTTTGGCATCTGCCGGCGGGAGCCGAGAGACGGAGCGCTGGAGAGAGGGGGGAGAGAGAGAGAGACGGGCGGGGGGGGGAGTGGGAGAAACCCTTCTGGTCTCGGGAACAATTATCGAGGAGAGAGGGAAGGAAGAGAATTTGTAGCAAAAAATGGATCCGCTCTCAGTGAGGGGCTTTGGAGTCGCAGGTCCAGAGGGAAGATCCTGAAGGCAGCTCGGGTGTCCCAGCTGGGGGTTAAGAAGGTCTGGGGGAGGGGAGTGTGGGGGAGTGTCTTTAATTTTTAATTTTTTAAAATTTACTTGGGGAGTGGAATTGCAGCTCGTAAGTCTCGCGCAGCTTTTTTCCTCCCGCTCCGTCTTCCAGCGGACCCTCTCCCCGTTCGCTCTTTCTTTCGAGTGGTTTTTAGACTGGATTTTCCGAGGAGGAAGGAGAGTGCGGCTTTAGTAGCGAAGAGCGGGTCCTCTATGCCTGCAGAGTCCCGCAGCAAAGGCTCGGGATGGTTCCTCGGTGATTCCCTGTTCGGTTCCGGTGGCAGCGCACGATCCCGGAGCTGGGCAGCCTGTCTGTCCTTTTATTATTATTATTATTATTCTCATTATTATTATTATTACTACCACTATTATTTAGTTTCTGTTTCGCTCTGCCTCTCTGTGCGAAGTATGCGGAGCTGCAGAAGTTCCAGCTCAGTCTGCGCCCCGCTGGAAACTCCGCTCGTAGCGCTCGGAAAAGCCTCGGGCGAGCAGCGGTGCCCGCTCCGGTTCCTCGCGTGGCTTTCCACGGGGACCTGGGGCCGCTCAGAGCCGGGGGGACCCCCCCAATGTGATGGAGAACATCCCCCCCTGAATGCCCCGTTCGGGGTTCAGCCTCTCCCCGCCGCTGCCGAGGGGTCACGGGCGCTCCAGCGCTGCCACACGTGGGCTCCGGGGTGGATTTTGTCATTCAAGTTCGTCATTTCGGAGCCTTTCCCGGCCGCCAAGGTCAGCGAGGGCCGGTGCCGCCCCCCGGGAGGACACCCCGGTTCTAGGGGGGACCCTTCCCCAAAGCTCCCGGGGCCAATTTCCTCACAAAGTCGCTTTGTCGCCGGCCCCGAGCTCCGGCCGCCGCCGCTGTTTTGCGGCCCCAGGCCCCGCGGGTCACCTTGGTGTCGCGACATTTCCCATCGCCATCCAGATGTCCCCAAAGCGTGTCCGTGTGTCCCCCGAACACCTCCCTCGGCTCTGTTTAGGGCGGGATGGGTGACCCTGAGCGTGGTCAACATTGTCACCCCATGGCCGGGGCGTTAGACGGGAAGTTCATTGAATTAATCCAGGGATTTTATTTTGCTTTAATTTATTTTTTACAATAAACACTCGTTTCAAGCGTCCCCGTTCAAATAATAACTTTTTAAAAAGTCGTCACTTATTGTTTTAGGTTGTTAAAGCGAGGAATGATTTTCAGAGCTCTCTTGGCTGGAAAAGCGAAGTTCAATGGTTAAATAAGGCGGAATATTTCACTTTTACTTTTATTTTCTTTTTAATTTTTTTTCCCCCTCGCTTTTCCTTCTCTTTCTTTTTACTTCTTGAAAAGGCCCCGGGTTTTTTTTTGCAGATGGGTTCAGTGCGGGTTTTTACAGATGTGTCCCTGGAGGGTGCGGTGCGGATCCCGGCCGCGTTTGAGCGCGGCTGGGACCCTCCACGCTCCCTCCGTGAGCTCTCAGCGAGCTCCTGCAGTCAAGAGCTGAAAGATTTTCGGTGTTTGGATATCTCAAGAGCTCGGGGAAGGGCTGAGATCTCCTCGGCCGGGAGCGAGCCCTTCCCGGCGGCCGCGAGCACGCCTGGAAGCGCCTGCTCGGAGGCTGAGCCCTGATTAAAATCAGGTGTTTAATACAATACAAGGCCCAACGGTTTATGGGGTTTCAGCCGAGGATTTTTTAGGGATCACAGTTCAAAACAGTAGTCCGGAGCTAAGGTTTCAATATCCCAGGAGTATTTATTTGCCAAACAGATTAAACACGGACACGAGTGTGGGATCTCGCTGTATTTTCCCCGAAGAAGTAGCCACAACTTCTTTCACTGTATGGAGCACCTCAGGTCCCTTCCAAACTCGTTTTTTTGGCTGTTCCAGCCCCAGGAGTGGCTGCGGGTGCTGGGAGAGCCCGCACGGCCCCGGTGCGCGGCCGCCGAGCCGTGCGAGCGGCGCACGGGGCTTTAAAACCACGCTGTGCGCTGGAAAATTTCATTTCATTGGACAATATTTTAAGCAGATGTGAGGCTCCGCTGGGAATTCCACAATATTACCTGCCTGGGGAAAGGGGAGAACGCGTGTGCGCTGGGATGGGAGAGGAATTCTCGGTGGGGAGAGCGGCAGGTACCGAGGGCAGCGGAGCTGAACCGGAGCCGGGAATGGTTCTCGCTCTCTCCGTGGCTCCCGGAGCCTTTAGAAACGCTGTAAATCAGAACACGAGACTCTCTAAGGGTGCAGGGAGGAGCAGCAGCCCCGAGGGTGCCGGAGCCCAGGTGAGCGCTGCCCCCGCATCCCCCGCAGCCCCGAAGGGATCACCGGGACGGGCAGCTCGAAGGCCACGCCGTGTCCCCGGCTCCAAGGGCCTCGGTTTTCCGCGAGAAAATAAAATCTGGGCAGCGGGGAGAGGGCTCTGCAGCACCGGGGGTCTCGCTGCTGCTGGCAGGGAGAGGATGCAGAGGAGGAAAATGACCCAGGAGCTGGGCGCTGCACGCTTACAGCGAATTCGTTTCCTTTCGAAATCCGTGAATTTCAGAGTACAGCCACAACACCGAGCTGCACACGGCAGGAGCACAGGGCTATAAATAAATGCTCGTGCTGGCAAATTATGACTGTTATTTCTGCAGCCCCGTTTGTTTTTCGCTGTTAGCAATAGGAGCGAGGCACACTTTGGGGCCGGAGTTTGCAGGCAGCGCTGGTGCATCCTCCGGGCACGCTGGACTGGCAGGAAAATGGTTGTGAACCCAACCCTGCCGTGCCCGGCACCGGTTTCACCTTCGAGGAGAGAACAGGCTTCCCGTTTACTGATATTTTATTAATTTTATTTTAATTACGGCTGAAGAGACAGCGAAGGGGAAAGGGAGAGCAGCGAGGAGAGCTGGAGCCCAAGCGCCACTTCCCGGCTCTGTTTGGGCTCCCACAGACGCTTCCAAAGCTGCCACGCACCGAGCAGGAAAATTTATGGCGCTTTGGGGCGTTGGGATTTTTTCCCATCTCCGAAGATCTCCCTGTGCCCTGTCCCTACCCAGACCCCGGTCATGGGGAGAGGAACGAGCGGCCCCGCTGTGCCCGGCCCGGTTCCGTGCCCTCGGTGACCGGGAGGTCCCCAAAGCTCTCCCGAGCGGCGGCCGCGGGTGCGGAGCCCAGCGCAGGTGCGGAGCCGCCGCCGGGTCCCCACCGTGCCTGGGTCCCCCCCTGTCCTGCCCCGGATCTGTTCAATTAGGCAATTAGGGATGCGGGGAAAGGAAGAAGGGGGGGGGGGGGGGGGGGTTTGATCCGCTAATTAAGGTGATGCGTAATTAGCGCTTCAACAAAAATCGCCGAGGAGTTGAGATCGCTTTACTCTTCATTTATTTTTTTTTCATTTCCCCCTCAAATTCTATAAATATAATGTATCAATTCCCCCACTCGTCCCGCGTGGGTTATTTGGGGAAAAGCACAGAAGGAACAACTGCAGGGCACGTCCTCTCCTTGGCCTGGGCAGGAATTTGGCAAACGGGGGCACCGAGCTGGGGTTTGGACGAGGGGCACTGGCTGCTCTCAGCCGCAGGGCAGCTCCGAGGTGCCAAAGGGATCGGGATTGGGGTCCGGCCAGCGCTCCTGGGTGTCCGAGCAGCTCGGATGAGGTGCGTGTGATGCCCATCCACGTGCGCTCGCATCACGGGGCGCTGGAGGCTCCGCACACAAATCTGAGTTTATAAAGTGCGTCAGAGAAAGGCGCGTTATCCCAAACCCGCCGAATTCCCCATTTCACGGAATTCCCGTTGCCTGTAAAACCTCCGTGTCTGTCTGTGCGGAGGCGTTTGTCTGTCGGGCTGGCAGCGCACACACAAAGCTCTTAAAACGCGCATAAAAAACACAGCTACTGCACGGTCACGACCCAGAATGTTCCGTGCAGAAATCGGACTGAATCTGTACTTTATGTTTAGTTTTTTAACTCGACCATCTAAACCTGCTTTATTTTTAGGCTTTGCACTGGGACTGCTGGGTGAGCTCAGGGATGGCAGGGGAGATCTTTGATGAGCTGGGGGGATAAAAATAAACGCAACATTTTCCTGAGGGCTGCTATTAAAAATACCTGGGGAAGACACTGATGTCGGGAAAGCACAGAAATGCCCTTTTGGCCGATTTTAGCCACACTCTAGCAGGATCAGAGAGCCCTGAGGGCAGCAGGGCTGGGAAGAGCCGGCCGGGATGGAGCGCAGCGCACCTGAAGCGCGCACGATCCCCGCTCCTTTCCAGGCAAAAAAGCGAGGCAGGAGCTTGGATTTCACCCCACGGCAGCGCTGTAATTCATCGCTGCCTCTCGCTGCGATGATATCCCGGCTCCGGAGCGTTCCACGAGCGGGGAATTCTGCCGGGATTCTCCGG